GGTTTGTTCAAAGAGAAGTTGTCGGGCGGCGAGCGCAGCGGCGAGGGCGGGCGTGCGAGCGCCGGCACTTGGGGCAGGGGAGCCCCCAGGGTGAGAGCCTCTCGGCCCGCCTGCGCCCCTGTGCGTGGTTCTTCAGCCCGCTGTGCTCCTGCTGGCGGAAGATGACGGTGGAGGGCTTCGGAGTGTTGCCAGATCTTGCTGATTTAGAAAGAAATAGCCTTTAGATGCTCTGTATAGACATTAATGTAAACATTCCAAGTCTGGATTATATAACGTTTTCGGGAATCGTTGGGATGCTGAATCGTTGGGATGCCGGCAGACGTGGCCGTGACAGTCCCGATCCTTCAGTCACGGAAAGAAATAGGAATTTTGACACTGCTTCAGTAGGAGGCAAGCTAGCCTTCACACTTAACAGTCAAAGAGAAAATAGTTTCTGTTCTCTCCTGATTATTTTGCGTGTGATGGGTAGGGCATTTTAAGCATTTAGAAACATTTTCCGTGGAAAACGTAAAGAACATTGAATTTGATTCATTTTTTCATTCTTTTGTAGCTGTAAGCTTCCTTCCCTACTTTCTAGGAGTGTGTTGATTTGGCTCTCTTTCTTGATGCAGAGCTTTCTGATACATTAATTCAGCTGTAAAGATGCATTCAACCACATGACGCATAACATGCTTTCAGAATTTTTAAAAATCATGTGATAGATGGCAAGGGTGGATAACCAGCGTGAGCCTCGTTGTTACAAATACACGCTCTGCTGTGGAGAGCTGAAGCCCGGTTTTACAGCAGAGGGGAAGGCACTAGTAAGTGTAGAAGATCTGAGGTGTGGAATTTATAAGTGCTACAGGTTAATATTGTTCCCTTCCTGCATATTTATCCACTAAATAACCTTTTTGACATAACATAAATTGCTGATGATCTTTTGCTTCCTTGTACATCACTGATTCTGGATAGATCCAGCAAACATCATATTGGCAAACCAGTTTTTCAGAAACCTCATTTAGTTAACTTGAATCAATGTCTTCAGAGTATTTTAGGTTAATTTAGAGACCAGTCCTCATCCAAGTATGTTGCACATAGCCATGGAGCAATGTCTGAGATGCGCTCAGTTGTGCCAGTCTCCCTCATATCCCATCTGTGTTTTCATTACGTGCTTTCTTAGGAAAGAAAAACCCGAATTTCTGTGGTGGTTTTGTGGCAGAGACCAGTAGAATTTTTGCGAAGATTACAGGCTGAAAACAACAAGTGTTTTTTTCTTCCTTGTAAGTGACACCAAATTTTAATCTGAAAATCTAGTTTATGGATGGGTAAACTGTAGAACCTTCAGCACATGAGTAGTCTTTGTTCGTGATACTCGTTTCACTGGGATTGTTGTCAGGAGGACATGCATACAGGAGAATGTATGCTGCTGTATTTGCTACATAGCCTAGCTTTGTCTTAACTACTTTTTTTCTTCAGAGTTCTTAGGAAACCTTTCATAAAAGATCAAAACATTTCAATTGTATATCTTCAGAAGGGTGCTCGATTCAGTGTTGATTTCTCTTCTTTGTCTGTTAATAAGTAATTAACTATTTTGGAGCAGGAATCATCCCACCACTAAGGTGAATATAAATGTATTAACTATTTACTTGTTAGAAAATATTCATCAGCTATAGACTTACTAATATTTGTAATTATTATCATTATATAATGCTCATACCTAGTTAAAGCTAGAGAAGAATGCAGAAGTTTCAGAGATTGTTAGCTTGCTCTTCATATTTTTCTAGTATATAAAAGAAAATGAGTCCATTTGTATGCCTCCTGACTAAAAAGACACTCATGAAAATTACAGAAGGAATCTTGGCTTTTCTTAAGCTGCTTTTGTAGTAGTAATTTTTACAGGGAAGTATGGCTATATGCAATATAATAAGAAATCTGGGACTGAAGCAGGCAATCCTGTCACATTCTGCAACCTGCTGCCTATTTAGTTGCTTAGATAAAGATGGATATTGTTGATGTAATTTGCCATGAGGAGTAGGGAAATTATTTCTTTTGATACAGCTAAGCAAAACAAGTGGCATGTTTTTTTAGAAACATGTACTTATGTACATTTAGGTGAACTACTGAAGAGTTGCAGAAGACCATAGAAAAGATGAATGAATGTTGCATCTCCTAGTTGTATTAGATCATGGAAACAGTACACTGATCTTTTTGGAACAGCTAATGCTGTTTTTGAACTGCAGCTAAAATACTGACTCGTAGCTGTTAACACTGTCTCCAGCAAACACAGCGACTGTAAACGTTGATGTATGGATGCTCTGCAGAATTCCAGATAAGCAGAAGTATAAAATGCCTCTGCATCCAAGTGTTCCCTTTGACACTTACTCACAGGCGTCAGATGTTTCCAGATGGCGATGGTATCTGTTGCCGCCTAACACTGCCATAGGCAGATGTGAACGACCAAGATTGCTCTTCTCTAGCTCCTGTGAATACTGTTTAAGGAAGCTAACGAAAGATATTCTTAAACAGGACATGGGAATTCAGCTCGTGATGCTGAGGACACAGCACTTCAACAGAGTAATGGAGGGAGAGAGGTGAAATTAGGAGAGTTGTTCTTTGACTGATAGGCAGGCAGGTGTAAATTTTGGCAGAGCTGTGCAGACTGCAGATGTCTTGGTGGCTGAGATCAGCTTTCTAGAGTTCATCCAGGAGAAAAAGGATGTATGAGTCTCTCCGAGCCTTGGGCCTGCTTGTGGGTAGTAGTAATACAGTGATCCATCAAGGTGTGATAATGAATTGCAGATCTCATTTATGAGCACACATCTCTTGTATCACCACTTAAAATGGAAAATTGCTAGATATTTTGCAGGTGTGGTGGGGGGCAGACACTCTTTTTAACCCTCCTGCATTCTGATTTTTGTAGCTCTTAATTTAACCTCTCAAACTATTGGGAGTAATCTTAATATCTGCAATATTTACTCACCTAAATGGTACTTTATTATTCCCTTAAAAAAGGAAATGTATAATTCAATGCATATATAAACATATTTTTAAATATATAACATAATGTATCACTACATATATTTATGAAATATGTATGTATATATTCTTTCCTTCTGAATAGCAAGAAATTACCAAATACTGGAGAAGGAGCTAATGGTAAGAGTGAAGTGAGCAAAGAATACGCTATACAGTTGAAATCATGTGAGAATTCTGTTGATCTGTATTTGTTCATTTCTATGGAGCGTTGCCAGTGTACCTTCTCCCTTTGCAGAAGGTCTTCTTTTTTATCAGTAGCCTCAAAATATTTCAGTTATACTATGCCTATTTCACATATAAATACTTTCTGTAGATGAGGAGAGGGCAGAAGATAACTCTATAGATACTGTCTTTTGCACTCACTTTTTTAAGACTGCCAGCAAGCTTTAACTCTTTACTATCTTTTGAGACTTGCTGTAGTAAAAATGCGAATGACTTGCGTGCCTAACCTTGCCTCCCTTTGAACTGTTCTGCAGCTCTGCTGGTTGAGGGGCTGGTGTTTGTTTCTTTTGTCCCTCAGCAGGTGGCTACATTTTCACTGACATCACTGATCCTGCTGTGGAACAACATCTGTGGCTTTGTGGGGGTTGTACTGGCTGGAGTAATTCAAATATTTCATCCTGGGTCCGACCCTTACTTTTGTTTAAAGATATAGTACTATTTTATTGCTTAACATAGGATATTATATGTTAGAATTTATACTGAAGGTCTGCTGTTACTCAGATCTGACCTGTGTCTTTCACAGTGGATAAGAAGCAGGGGTGTAACCTCTTTTTGTGGGGTGGTGGTTTTTTTTTTTCAGAGCTTAACAGAAGATATTAGAGAAAATTGAAGTTAAGAATATCAGAAAAGCTCTGTTGGGTCAGATCAGCGGGCCTTCTTACTCAGGGTTCAGTCTGTTGGAGTGATATTAAGGGGTGCTATTTAGGGGCTGTCCACAAACCTAGCCACTTCGTGTATCTGTTCCCTTGTAGTCTCCCCGCATACTTAGGTGTCATATTAGGAATGGTAGGTGTATATCTGCTCAGTGCTGTTAGAGCCTGTTTGTGGACCTGACAACCAAGAACTAGTCTTTTCCAAACTTGCTGATGCTTACTGCCTTCACAACCTCCTGTGGTGGTACGTTCCAGAAGCTTACTACTAGTTTTTTAAAGAAGCACTTTAAGCTTTTATAAACTAATGTCTTACTAGCTTCATTAGAGGTCCCTTAGTTCTGTTACTAGAGGATTTGGCAAGCAAAAGTTTTATGTTAGTTTATTTACCACCTTCATGGTTTGATTGATCATATCGTGCTTCAGCTGTTTCTCCAACTGAAGAGCCTCTTTAGTCTCTTTTTCTAAGGCAGACACTCTATCCTTTTAACATTTTGTTTGCTGGTGTCTGTCCTTGAGATGCAGAGATCAGAACTCCACACACTACTTGAGGTGTGGTGGACCATGATTCTATAAAAGTGCTCTGTCTTGTTCTCACTGCCTTTCCTCATGATGATCAATGTTCTGGTAGGTTTTTGGTTGCTGTTGAACATCAAACTGCTAATTCCAAGGACCTGTCAATAATGACTCCTAGATTTCTTCTCCGAGTTATTTGTCAGCATGGTGTGTGTGATTTAGATTATTTTTTATTAGATGTGTTAGCTTATATGAATCTACACTGAAGCTCATTTGTCGTCTTTTTGTCCACTCTGAGTTTGCAAGGTGCTGCTGGGGTTCTTTGCCATCACCATGACATTAGTTCTGTGCTCGAAGGCAACTTCTTGTCTTTGTCATAATTTTGCCAACAGTATCATTCCTGTCGAGTTTTTTTTGTGTGTGTGTCTGATGTCTGAGAGGGGTAAACGTGTTGTGGCAAATCAGTGAAGGTGTTGGTAGATCTTAAAAATTGCTTATACGTAACACAGGCTTTTTTTTTTTGTTGTTTGGGGTTTTTTTTTCTTTGCTTTAAATATCATCAAGCGTGGGCTCAGAAGAATAACAGGTCTGTTATTCTGTGTCCAGAAACCCAGACCAGATAAAAAGGAAAAAAAACACTCTGAAAGATGCCGTCCATAGCACTTAATCCAACTACATTGAATGGTGAAATGAGAATGGTGGTGTGTGGTATCTGATCCACATTGATTGCTGTTAAAATTATGCTTAATTAAAACCAAAGAAGCTTTTAAAAATATCAGAGTGCAAAGTGATGCTTACTTAAATAACTTTAATGCTTTGCT